AGTTTGGGTTTATATTTGTCCTTTAGTGTATCAACTAGTCAAATGATTCACACAAGATAAATATTGGCCAGTACTGGGAAGAGAGACCTCGTTTTTGTAAGCTTATAATGAGCAAATGATGTTCTTTCATTCTTTGGGGGTTTTTTTGGGGGGGGGGGTTGTTTTTGTTTTTTGAGTTGGAGTCTCACTCTATTGCCCAGCCTGTAGTACAGTGGCACACTCATGGCCACCACAGTTTCAACCTGCTGGATTCATGCAATCCTTCCTCCTCAGCCTTTCAAGTAGTTGGAACTACAGGCAGATACCACCACACCCAGCTAATTTTTTTTTATTTTTGTAGAGATGAGGTCTCGCCATGTTGCCTAGGCTGGTCTGGAACCCCTGGACCCAAGTAATCCTCTCCCCTCTGCCTCCCAAAGTGTTGGGATTACAAGCATGAGCCACTGCACCCAGTGAGCAAATGATGTTCTAACTCTTGAGAGACATTCTGATTTAACTTCGGGTCTACTTTAAAAATACAGAGGTTTTAAAAAATTCATATTTCACAATAGATTTATATTATTATAGATACATTTTAAATGTATACCACTTAAAATTACTTGAGAAATAGTAATAATATGATGTCAGAACATGCTTTGAAAAAATCTGGAAGAAAATACACCAATTCTTAACAGTGGTACTCTGGCAAGGAAAGATAAAAGCAGACTTTCCCTTCAACATTATTTAGTACTGTTATACTATTTTTATTCTAAGGGTAAAAAGAAATACAAAATTTTTAAGGTGGGAAAACATTGAGACATTAAAATATATCAATTAACAAAGGACAAATTGCTTCCCTTCTTCAAATATTCAAATATCTTTGAAGTGTGTGCATCAGTAACAAAAATGCCAATTCACAGGTCCATAATTTAGTCTGAAATCTCCTTTATTTATGGTCAAAGAGAAGTTAATAAAGTGTTAATGTGGAACAACTATTGTCACACACACATACAAGGGGCTGGCATGAGTGCCAGCCTGGGATTTTGGAGCTCAGGAACACAATTTCTATAGCACAACCAGTTCTACTGACGTCCATCCACCCCTGGAGAGGAGAAGGGACTTCTAAAAGCCTTAGATTGAGATTATTTTTCAAATGAATAGAAGAAAGATGTAATGCTTACTTACAAAAAGAGAAAAAGATCTCATTTTGTTAAATTTTTACCTAGTAAATAAAAACAAAGAAAGAAATTTCACTAAATTAAGTACTTCCCACATGCAGTACACCTCTTTAAATCTTCACAGCAGACTATGAAGTAATAAACGATTAGTCTACCGGTTTCACCTGCAAGAATGCTGAGGCTCAGAGAGATTATCCAAGGTCAGCTAGCTCATAAGTGCAAAATGGGAACAATCGGGACAGACAGGCCAAATCTACTACTCCATCTTGCTAACAAATCAGTAATTTCAATGGCAACAGTTGACACTACATTTAGTAGACCAAAAAAGTATTACTATAAGTTTCATTTCTCCCATCTGCAGTTCCTCTACAGGCTAACTTTTCACCTTTGTGAGATACATTTTGAAATCTGTCTATTACACTCTGGTTTTCTGTCAAGTTAAAATTCAGTATTTGAGTGAGTGAGTGTTTTTTTTTTAATATTTTGAAGTATTTTTATCAGTAACCTTAATCCTTCTCCAAGCGTGTAAAGAACCACTTAAATTTTCAGAAAGTCATATTAATCCAAATTGAGTAAATGGATGCCTAAGTAGATTTAAAAACAATCTGTTCCCAGTGGTTGAGTCATATATCAACTGCACGTCTGACAAAGGAAGATATTGATGTCTGTGTACCTTTTCATTTTAAACAATATTTACACAGTCCAGTGTTTCTCTGAACAAGAAGCCTTGAGGCAGTCCATACATAAAAAACCCAATCACTATGGCAACTAGGAATAGCAGTGATTGCACAGTGATTCAGCCTGTATCCCAAATAAAAATTGTTTGTCAGGGACAGAGAAACAACTCAGAGTCATGCTTCATTGGAAAATAACCCGGTTAAAGAATAACCTGGGTTGGTGGTTGTTTTTAAGTGTTTGTCAAATTATTATAATTTTATAATAGGACACCTATCTTAATATTAACTCCAGCTCAGAGAGGTAGTTAATATGTCTCCTAAAGTAATATTTAATGCATTCACTGATTCACTCACTCAAGAAACTGCAGAGGAGGTGTCCTCTTTGGTAGGTGCTGAGCTAGGTATGGGTCATACCACTGTGAACAAGACAAGCAGGGAGGTCTGCCTCACTGAATTTCCAGTGTAACTAATAAGCAAACAGGTGATAAGGAAGCACTGTGGTATACAACCTCCTGCCTGTCATACAGGGTGCTTTGGGTCATTAGGGCACTTGGTACTTCCCAGAGGAAGTGATGGCTAAGCTGGTGACCAGGTAAGCAGAGAGGTGTGTGGGCCTCGGGGTGTTCCAGACACAGGAAGTAGCAGGCATAGAGGACTAGAGAGTAAAAAAAAACAAGACATTAAGGATGCAGTGTAATTCTGAGTGACTGAAACATGGAGGTCTAAGCATAATGGTTAAGGAGAAAAAGACTGAGGGTACACAGCATGAAGAGGCTTATGCCTAAAGGTCCAGCAACAGAAAAGGATGAACTATTGCTATGTGTGCAATGTTGGTGAATATCACAGACATAATGCAGAGTGAAAGAATCCACACACAAAAGAGTACAAATTGTACCATTCTATATGAAATTTATGAAATTCAAAATTAGACAAAATTGATCAATGATGACAGAGTTCCAAAAATGGGAGAGGATGCTGACTTGGAGCAGGACATGAAAAGGGATTTCTGAGATGCTGAAAATGCCCCCACATCTTCAACTGAGCAGTGGCTAAACTGGTTATACATATACACAAATGTATCAAGATTCCACTTGCGATTGGCTTAAACAGGTTAATAAGCAGGGGGAAATCAAATGAGCAAAAGTAATGGTTAAATATCTAACAAAAGATGAGCTCATATATTGAAAAATGTTCTATATACACAAATCAAGGGGATTAATTATATCTAAAGAAAATTTATAAACAGCTTTAAGACAAGGTAAAATTTTCTAAATAAAGGTTCATGTTTGTGCAATGTGGAGTTATAGATAGGTCTTCCTATGATATTTTCATTATAGAAAAATCACATATAAACTCATACTATACACATAGAGTAAAAATATCATCAAATGTAAGATAAAATATTACCTATCCTGAGGATAAAATTGGGGTAGGAAAACACAACAGACTTGAACTCATTGGTAAATTTTTTTTTTTTTTTTTTTTTTTTGAGTTGGAGTCTCACTCTGTCGCCCAGACTGGAGTGCAGTGGCCACTCCCGGCCACCGCAGCCTCGACCTGCTGGGCTCTGGCGATCCTTCCGCCTCAGCCTTCCGAGTAGCCAGAATTACAGGCATGCGCTACCACGCCCAGCTAATTTTTTGATTTTATTGTAGAGATGAGGTCTCGCCTGCCCAGGCGGGTCTCGAACCCGTGGGCTCAGGCAATCCACTCACCTCAGCCTCCCAAAGGCGCAGGATTAGAGGCTGAGCCACTGAGCCCGGCCATTGGTAAAGTCTTAAACTGGGTGGTACATACATGGGCATCTATTATAGTAGTCTTTATTATTTTTGAACATATTAAATATTTTGTTTTCTCCATAATTAAAAAAGAAAAAACACTATTTGCAATAAGAAGCAATTGAGGAATGCTGTAGGGATCCAGGTATGAAATGATAAGACTTACCTACAGCAGTAGCAGTGAAGATGGAGGGAAGAGGACACAGTGGAGAGAGATGTAGAAGGTAAATCAACAGCATTAGCTAATCGACCAGATGAGGACATGAGGGAGACAAAGGAGACAAATCTTCCACTAGACCAGCTGAATGGATGGTGGTGTCACTCATTGAGATGGGAAAACATGGAAAAATAAACAAGATTTAGAGGGAATGAGAGGAGAATAATGAGTCCAGTTTTTGACAAAGTGACTTTGAAATGTTTCCAAGAAAGAGTTGAAACTACCGTCTGAAGAGGAGAAGTGAGAACTTGGTTAAGGATAGATTTGGGAACTATCAACACAGAGCTGGTGATTAAAGCCACAGACCTGGACAAGGCTCCAGAGAGAAAGTGGGGAGTGAGCAGAGAAGAGAATTTAGGACTGAATCTTGGGGCAGCAGAGAAGGAGTCACAAAGGAGACTGAGAAAGAGGAGCCCAAGAACTGGAGGAAAACCAAGAGTGCATATTGTCCTTACAGAGAAAAGAGTGTTTCAAGAAGGAAGGTATGGTCAACAGTACCAAATTTTGACAAAAGCTCAGGATAAATAAGAACTAAAAGGTAATCACTGGATTTGGCAACCAGGAAGTCATTGACCCATTTCTGAGAAAAGAGTAAGAAGTCAGAATGGGATAAATGGAAAACTGGGGGGAAGGGAAGTAGAGACATCAACTGTGGACTTCTTTTTTAGGAAGTTTGGCTTCTGAAGAGAAGAGAGATAGGGAAGGAAGAAGAGAAGGAGGCAAGTAGCAGAAGGATTATTGGTTTTTTCAAAATTTTTCCAACCTTGGATATTCATAATCATATTTAAATGATAATAAAGGAAAGAAACAAAAGCATGAATATATAAATATATTTAGGTCCCTGGAAATGAAGAAGTCACAGCAAGGTTCTCAAGATGACTGCCTAGTAACAAACATACTTAAATTATATTAACATTCAATAACTGGTGAAATAAAGCATGAACTGGGCAAATTTTAAATCACGAAACAGCACATTATAACAGAAAGAAAAATTGGTTGTTACATGACCTATTAGAAAAGACTCTGCACAGTCCTCTCCCCTCCTATCATCCAATAGTGCAAAGAAAGAATAAGTTGGAACATCACAGACAAAATAAAGATATTATTTACTGACTTTTTGGTTCCATATGCTTTTCATTTTCTTGAGAAATAGCCATTATTAAATTCTTACCAGCTTTGGAGTTCTCAGGATGCTTGTCGGGGTGACATTCCAGAGCTCTGACCTTAAATTCTGCCAGAATTTGTTCAACCTAAAACAAAAATCAGTATTTAAAATGAGAAGCCCAATATAAATGACATCAAGGAAGAAGGACATCAGTCTTTCCCCAAAACAGCCATGATCAAGTCAGCTTTTTAATGTGACCCTTATATTTCCAGTTTGACTTTTTTCCTCTATGAAATAATTTCCTCAATAATGAAATTCAAGCCGGGCACGGTGGCTCACACCTGTAAACCCAGCACTTTGGGAGGCCAAAGCAAGAAAATTGCTTGAACCTAGGAGTTCAAGACCAGCCTAGGCAACATAGCGAGATTTCATCTCTACAATAAATAAAAAAATTTGCCAGGTATGTTGGCACAAGCCTGTGGTCCCAGCTGCTCAGGAGTCTGAAACAGAAGGATCATCTAATCTGAGGAGATCGAGGCTGCAGAAACCTGTAATCATGCCACTGCACTTCAGCCTAGGTGACAGAGTAAGACCCCACCTCAAAAAAAAAAAAAAGAAAGAAATTCAGGAAGCATCAAATAAAATCTCCTATTGAAATAGTAGTCTGTGATGACAATTTAACTTGCTACTTTATTTAAATGATGTCACAAGACATCCATGAGCTCAATATATTTAAATACCCAAAATGGCCACACAGGTTTATCCTAAGAATATCTGATGTTCACATATCTAAATTCTTCCAAGATGCTTAGTCATCGTTCATTATTTAGGAATGACTGTCCCTGAATTATAAATTATATATCATAATTTATAAATTATCCATTATAAAGCTCTTTTTTGCCTTTTGGCCCTCTTCTTTTTTATTAAGAATTTCACAATTAAAAGAAAAAGGACATACTTCAAACCTGATAATTTTGTTACCAATTAGGAACTTGATTAAAGATTTTGATTGGGAAAACAGAAACTCCAGCCCAAACTAAAATGAGATTTGGGGGCCATTCATAACTTGACTTTAGTTCAATCCCTATGACCATGAATTAGGACTTGGCTTTATTAATTGTGACTGCAATGACAACAGCAGGAGACAATAGTAGTTACTTGGCTCTGGAATTTGATTGCTTGGTTTTAAATCCCAGTTCTGCCATAAGACTTCAGGCAAGTTACATAACTTCCATGTGTCTAGGTTTCTTTATCTTGCTCCTTATAAGTAGAGAACTAAACCCAAAGCCTGAGCATAGTAGAAACTCAACAATAGTAGCTATTATTAAAGATCAGTGGTTAAGTCAACTTGTCCAAGGTTATTCAGAGACTTACTTAAAGAGTTGAGTTTTTTATTGTTGTTAACTAAGCAGTCAGTCTTTAAATCCTAGCATCTTACACTGTTTTACATGGCTGAATTTTTTGTTTTTTTTTTTGAGTTGGAGTCTCACTGTCACCTAGACTGGAGTGCAGTGGCCTCGCAGCCTCGACCTGCTGGGCTCCGGTGATCCTTCCGCCTCAGCCTTCCGAGTAGCCGGAATTACAGGTATGGGCTACCATGCCCGGCTGATTTTTTGATTTATTGTAGAGATGAGGTCTCGATGTCTCACTCTGTCGCCTAGGCTGGAATGAGTAGCTCACAGCCACCACAGCCTCGACCTACTGGATTCAGGCGATCCTTCCACCTCAGTCTTCCAGGTAGCTGGAACCACAGGCATGCGCCACCACACCTGGATAATTTTTTTTTATTGACTGTAGAGACGAGTTCTTGCCATGTTGCTCAGGCTGGTCTCGAACCCCTGAGCTCAGGCAATCCTCTGGCCTCCACCTCCCAAAGAGCTAGGATTACAGGCTCAGGCCTCCACGCTGGCCATGGCTGAATTTTTTAGGCTTGGGGGACTATTATAGGATTCCATACTTACTAACCACTAATTAATGGGAGCAAATTACCTGTTGTTTGATAAATTAATTCTCAAGCAACTCAGCTCAATATTGTCATAAGATTCAAGGGAGAAACATATCCTCAGCTCCATGTCATCTTTAGTCAGTTCTCATAAAAAATGTTTTCACTTTTGCAATCAAAATCAGACTATATTAGGTAGGAGTATGTATAAAACCCAGACTAACAACTCTATTCTTTTCCTTGTCAAGTTCCTACTAAAAACCCTTTGGAATAATAGGAAGTGATAGATTGTTGAGAACTATAATTAATAGTGTGTTTTCTCTTTCTGGGTTCTTCCCTTAACCACCATAAAAACCATCATAAAAGTCTTAAATATCCTACAGAGTATAGTAGCAAGCATTTTTAAATTAACAAGTAATTTATTAATACAAACTCTTGGCTGGGCATGATGGCTGATGCCTGTAATCCCAGTACTTTGGGAGGCCACGGTGGGAGGATCACTTGAGCCATCCTGGGCAACATAGTGAGACCTCGTCTCTACAAAAAATATCCAAAAAATTAGCCAGGCCTGGTGGTGTACACATGTAGTCCCAGCTCCTCAGAAGGCTGAAGCAGACGGATCACCTGAGCATAGTATTTGAGACTGTGGTGAGCCATGATCATGCCCCTGCATTCCAGCCTGGGTGACAAAGTGAAATCCCAACTCAAAAAATAAATAAATCAATGTAAACTCTCTTTGAAAAAACTTCTGTCAATACAGAATAAGAAGTAAAAAGCCCTTTACCACTCTTCCTTCATAATAATAGGTTATATCCCTGAAGACACACTTTTAGCACATATTTGTGAATATATACTTTGGGCTCTTAAAATAGCATAAATGGATAAAATGAAACCTATCAAAAGTAGAAATTTGAGAATGTTTATGCTTGCTGTTGTTTTATTTTGTTTTGTTTTTTAGTTAGGGTCTCATTCTGTCACCCAGACTAAGGGCAGTGGCACCAGTTATGGCTCACTGCAACCTCGACCTCCTGGGCTCAGGAGATCCTTCTACCTCAGACTCCTGAATAGCTGAGACTCTGGGCGCACACCACCAAACTTGGCTAATTTTTTTATTTATTGTAGAGATGAGGTCTTGCTATGTTGCCTAGGCTGGTCTCAAACTCCTGAACTCAAGCAATCCTCTTGCCTCTGCTCCCAAAATGCTGGGATTGTATGCATGAGCCACCCTGCCCAGCTATTTTTAAATTCATATCCCACTAGAAAACATTCTGATGTTCATGGAAGCAAATGTGTCAAAATGGTTATTTATCAGTAGTGCTAATATGTGATTGCTATTTTCTTCTTTATATTTTTTGTTTTTTGCCAGTTTCATATTTTTAAAAATTAAGAATAGTCCTTTTCGGTCATTCACTACTTTTCATAGTTTTACTATCACAAAGTTTATCACAAATCTCCTGTATAGCTGGTTCTGGGTAAACAGGTAAGTGAGTTAGTTTGTCTTGGACACATTCTATTTATCTCCTGTCCTCTCCACTTCATGTGTCCAGTGCCAAGTTCAGTCCATGGGCAGCTGAGGCCCTCCGTGTCAAGGTTCACTGAATCCTGCCTTTCTGATCCAATGTCCAATGGTCTGGAAAATTGCCTATCCTGTTGGCCAGTAAACATAAAAAAATGTTCAACTTTACTTACTCATAATCAAATAAATCAAAACATCCAAAGAATGATAATAGCCAGTGTTACTGAGGGCGCAAAGAAATGAACCCTCATGCTCTCCTGAATGTAAGCAGGCATATATACATACAGGCTTATAGATAGATAGATAGATAGATAGATAGATAGATAGATAGATAGATAGATAGATAGACAGACAGATAGATAATCTTGCCAGGCTTGGTGGCTCAGCCTATAATCCCAGCACTTTGGGAGGCCAAGGTGAGTGGATTACCTGAGCCGGCAGGTTTGAGACCAGCCCGGACAACTTAGTGAGACCTCGTCTCTACCATAAATAAAAAATTAGCTAGGCATAGTAGCGCACACCTGTAGTTTTGGCTACTTGGAAGATTGAGGCAGAAGGATAGCTGGAGCCCAACAGGTTGAAGCTGGGATGGCCGTGAGTGTGCCACTGCACTCCAGCCTAGGCGATAGAGTGAGACTCCAACTCAAAAAATATACATATGTATATGAGAAAAGGTTTTAATGTGTTTCCTACTCTTTGATCCCACAATTCCAAATCTAGGATTTTTGTCTAAGGAGATAATTGGAAGTGAAAAAAGAATTTAGCTATAAGAAGCTACAATGAATATATACATTTCAAACAAAACCTGCATGTCTAAAAATAAAATATTTGTTAAAGTTGATAGGCTGGAACACTTTGTAGTCATTTTTTTAAATTATCTGGTAGAGAAGATGTTTAACAACCTGAGAGAACTTATATTTCCACAAGAAAAGGTAAGATTATGTGCAAATTAAATCCATAATGTTTTATCTCAAAAGAAATTGTGTAACATATATCCAAGAAGTAACCCAAAATTATTTTTTGGAGGGCAGGCCTCTTGTAGTACAGGCTTCCTCCTAGGTGAGTGTTCTAGGAACCATTGACATCAGTGTACCAGCTAGAGTTATTGTGAGAGGCTGCATTAGGCTTCAGTGAATTTATTTTTTTACCCATTTCATGATGGGTGATTTACAAGCACACCTGCCTACACGGAGCTGAGAGTTCAGCAGTCTTTAACCAAAAACAGCATGATCCTCGTGCCCCACCCTCCCTATTCACTGAATCTCATTCTGAGCAACTTTTTCTTGTTTCTCCAGATGAAAAAAGTCCTGAAAAGGAAAGGTTTTGCTGATTTGGAAGACATGAAACAAAAAACGGCAGAAGCACTAAAAGGCATCAAAATTGATGAGTTCAAAAGCTGTTTTGACCAGTGGAAAAAGCGTCTCAATAGGTGTACTGCATCAAACAGAGAGTACTTTGAAGGTTACTGAAGTTTAGACATGTAAGAATAAATGCACAATTTTTTATAAATAAATTCCAATTTGGGGGTAACTCTTGTATTATTATTATTATTATCATTATTATTATTATAACTAAGATTTATTGAGACTTACTATGTGTCAGATACTGTCTAAAGCACTTTACATATAGTGTTTCTTTTAATTTTCACAACTCTATGAGGTAGGGACTATTATTATTCTCACCTTGC